TGACGCGGCACCGCAGTGCCATGGGTGCTGACTAAGAAGGAAGACGATAGAGAGCCTGTCGCTCTCTCAAACGAAAGACCAACCACTTATACAGTCCATCTAAATATTTCTGGTGGATGCACCATCAGTAGTCCAAAGCCAGCATCGGAATCAATTATTTTTGGTGGACACCATTAGAAGCCCAAAGCTAGCATCGGAATTTCATTCATTCCATTTTGGCCGGCCAGCACCACAAGCAGCCCAGTCGCAAACCAGCATGATCAGTCCAGTGTAGGCGGGATTTGATGACACCTAGCCCAATCAGTCCAATCTTAGAGCCCAACCGACCGACACTAACAATGCCAATCCAGTCTGGTCCTAGTCCAGTCCGGTGCCGACCAGCCACCACTAACGGTGCTGGAACCACGGGAAAGTAGTCCATGGCTTAAATTATTAGTCCTTCGTCAGTCGGTCGGTGCGCCTCTAACCGGTAACGGAACAGGCCAGACGGGCCGGCCCAACTCTCACCAGGATAGCACCAAAAGCCGGGTCCGGCACGGCTAATAGTTCGCGTCCGGGAGCACTGATCGATCAGCCCCCCCCCCCCCGTCAATGGTCCTGCTCGGTCCATCGGTCCAGCGTACTCCACCGGATTTTTATTTGTGTTTGTCCGCTCTTCTCAAGTCGGTACGCCCGTTTGATGGCGTCAATTTTTGACATATCAATCTGGGATACTGGCAGTGTGGTGCACTCTCGAGTCTCGGCATACGGTTGAGCATGTGGTTAATTTCATCTCGAACAGTCAAACCTCTGACATGAACAGATGCCACGCTGCCCTAGTTAGTGACCGTTAAAGTCAGCCTAATCGTGGGTTTTTACGTGCCTTTTTGTGACTAGGATTGTATTTATGCGATTCTTGTTGGAGCAGCCTATGAGGATTTTTCATATAGCGGTAACAGGAAGACGGCTTAATCGAGGGCTGGCAAAATCAGGTCGGGGAGTTAGAGAATGTGGGTCATGTGTGTACTTGAAGACGGACATCCTTGTAATGTAAATCAATGAACATCCGGGACAAGCTTTCCTTGTCTATCCTGTAAAATCTTGCGAAAAAGACCACTGTTGTATTATGAGACGAGTTGTTTTATTAGCAACGTACAATATGCAAATATGCATGTATTGCATGCTTCATTCCAAATGCATTGAAGCCTGGCAATTAACGAATCCCTTGCGTGGTTGGAATGAATTAAGATATTGATTACACGTGAATTCATGACTTCGGTTGAGGACCAATTATCATCGGTAACTTCAGCGAACCCATCTCAGCTTTCTCTGCCTCCACGCTTTACACAGTCCTTATCATATTTAGTGTATTTTCACTCTCAGTCATTCTGGTATGCACTTTAAATGCCTACGTATTTAAGTACCCCATTCCCCTCTCCACCTTTCACACAATAGATGTCCTTATTGATCACCTATGCATTAAAACTATAATTCATCATGTCCTGTTGTCAGTTATCCATTATAATAGAGTTGCATCGATCGGGCATACCTCTGTTCACCGCGTATCGACTGGTGTGTTTTTGCCTCCGGGACACCTGCATACCTACCACCTGGGCTAGCCACCCGCTATCGACCGGTCCTGCCCAGCCAATGTTGTACCGAGTTCCCCGGGGCGGGCTGTACCGTTCGCACAGCCCGCCCTGCCGACAGTGGGGCCGCTGATCCCCGGGGCAACGATCGGCCTTAATTTCCCTCCCCTGTTCGCTCTGTGGAACCAGCAAACAGCTGCAGCACACCGCTGATCACGCACGTTAACACCCTGGCACGTACCAGATAACACAACACGTCACCACGCACGTAACCACCCTCACACGAGCCAGGCACCAACCGATCCATGGAACTTACCGACCAGCCGGGGTGGCTAGCTTGCTGAATCGATCACCGCGTTGTGTGTGCGAATACGTCGATCCAGCTCCCTTCCCGACAGACAAACAGCCTTTGTAAAATCAATGCGCGCTCGCCGTAAGCGGCAGTTAGCAGCACCACCTGCCGCGGAAATGCGGCGTCATCGGCCTCGTTACAGCTGCCGGGACGGTGGGAGCCAGCTGTCCCGGCGCGGTGGTGGGCCGGCTGCCAGTGACCCAGGGGCGGGCAGAGGTCAACCCCCGGCCGCCGGGTCACACCCGCGTGGGAAGGAGGAAGGCGGTCACTTCCTCCCCGCTGGCTCTGGACCGGTTGTGGACTGATTATGGGCCGGTGGTGGCCGGGCAGTGGACTGACCGTGCGACTGAATGTGGACTGAATGTGGACTGAATGTGGACTGGCAGTGCACTAGCTGTATTGACCGACATGCACTAACGGCAGTGAGCCGGCTTAGTTCTGGCCAACGACTGACTAAAGGTCACTCTTTGACCACCTGTGGAGCGGTCTTTTGACTGTCCGTGGACCGACCATGCATGGATCGTCCATACGTCCATAGGCCGGATGTCGGCCCACTCAGCCACGACACTACCATTCAGTGCCGTCAGCCTGCGAAGCGGCGCAGCGGCCGGTAAAGCTCCTGTAACACGGGCCGAACACGGGTCGACTTCAGCCGCTCATTCACAAACGCGGCCGAAATCGCCCACGGCGGCAGGCCGAGACCAAATAACTGAACTGAACAGGTGTGGGTAATTCCGCGGTCCCTGTCTTCCCTCCAAAGCGATAGCCGATACATTCACCCCATCGCCGCCTCACCAGGTTCTACCAGCTGCTGCCCGGCGCCATGGCCATACCGGGCGATAAAAACGGGTCTGAGCCGCAACAAAGGGCCGGGCGCGGCGGCCCAAGCTCGACGGGCCGGCAGCGGTGCTCCCCACTCCCACCGGAGCGGACCGGCGAAGCTGAGAGTGGCCGGCTGTGGTCCCTGGTCCATGACCGATACCGATCACCGAGGACCGACAGATGGTCCGCCTCGGGGGACCAGTGCGGTCCCATTACCGCGGGGGGAGAGGACCGGTGTTCCGGTGCTCGGCAGTTCTCCGTTTAAGTGAGCAGTTGCACCATACCGGCGATGGTTGGATGCATATATGTAGTCGTCGATACATTTGATATTTCTCTCTAAACCGAAGCCCCATGCTCCTGCTCCACTTCCAGTTTCGTCTCCAGTCCAAAAGCCGTTTCCACTTCCCAGTCCCGCTCATCCAAAGCTCCTCCACAGTTTCGCTCCAGACCGGCGCCGGTGCCACGCCCCTCTACGGCGCACCAAGTGTTTTTTGCCATCAGTCCGAGCAGTCAGGAGGCCATTTCGGGCGTCTCGGTCAGCCTGCGGCCGGCCGGCCCTCGGCCCGTGACATTGACCCGCTCGCCCCCACGCGGCGCGCGTTGCACAACGGACGACACAGGGCGCGTGGCGCGGCGGTCGAACAGCGCGTGGGCTGGCCGCGCTATCTCCGACCGGTGCGGAAATCTGGTGTGGGCGGTACGGGGAGGAACGGTACCTGGCCTCCAGTCAGGACACGGATGTATGAAGGGGAGAGACGATATATCCTTCTAGTCAACGGACAGAGGCACAGGTAGGAGAGAAACATTCCCTGGCTCCCAATCAAATGACGGAGAAACAGTAGAGAAGTGCTGCCTCACCACCACTTTCAGGAAAAGGAAGTGAAGGGAAGAAACGGTACATTTTCTAGTCAACAGGTAGGTACTAGGCGGCGGTACAGAGAAATAACAGTCTTGCGCAGAATTCCAGCCAGCAGAGAAGAAGTCAAGACTTCCCTTCAAGGTCAGCAGCAGTCAGGCGTTTCAGCAATTATCTCCCACAGAGGAAATGTGTGCGCACCACATGGCCGCCGGGCAGATGAAATGGGATAAATGCTGCTACTGGTAGTTGTTAGCAAGATTACTGTCCGTTTCTGCCACTCATGCGCCATTTGATGGTCGCGAAACGGCAGACTTCAGGTGTAGGAATGAGGCGGCTCCGTGATAAGACTGGAGGAAGCCAGTTGAGCACTCCCGACTGAACGCATCACCCACGATAATCAAAGCTCGACTATGTAGGAGTAACTTTGTTTATTATACCGTGTGACAGACTGTGATTCTTGCGGGTGTGTCTCAGGAATTCGCCGGCGGGATCAGGTCAGTCCATCGGTATGAAGCTGGAAACGAGGCCAACGAAACGACAACACCACACTAGCGCTGAAACGCCTTGGGGTCGTCAGCAGCGTCTCAACAATAACCGTTTATCACACAAACAAGCCCAGCGCACTGTCCGGCAGGTTCACTGCTCTGTACCGACAGAGACCCTAGCCTGCAGGCTGCGGCCGTCTCCATTGTTCGTCAGGGGAAGAGGGGTCGAGGACCGGTACCATCACCGAAACAAAGGCGAAATACCACCGGAGGCTGACACCAGCCGTTCAACCTTCAGCAAGGTTCCAACGGCAGCCTTTGTTGACTGTTATCAACGTGTTTGATTATCTCCTGTGGGGGTTCTTGTGTATATAGCCACCACAGGAAGAGACACGGGCCGTTTTTTTTGTGCCAGTCACCTCGTGCTGGTTTCGTTGTTGCCGCCCCCGTCTTCCGCAGCTGGTGGAGCTCCTCAGCTATATATGGGAGGGCTCATAAGGGTGGCTCGGGAGGAGCAGAGGTTCTCTGTGCAGAGAACGGAGTCAAGGGGTGGCCGACCTACATGTCGACTGGTCCAGGGCTGCCCGACCTGTGTGGCAGCGATTGCTGAAGGCCTTGACCTGTCCTGATCTATATGTTTGAAATATGTTACGTGGATGACGTTGCCTGCCATTATGGATTTCATTCGGCGTAATGCTAAATAAAATAAAGTTGATTCGCTTGAAGTTTTATGTTTTATGCGTGTAAGAAGTGAATATTGCATACCTTCTTTCGGCACATGCAGCTACCTTACACATTTTTTACGCCAAGTCCCCAATTGCATCCTCATCCCTCCCGTAGTGTAATCACAGCCCCACGGCGGCCCATGCTGCACCTGCAGGCGGGCAGGCCGTTCGGCCGGCAGGGTTCCTGACCTGGCACCGGTGCGGAACCGCAGCTGCACGTCCGGACTGGGCTCGATGCTGCGCCGCACGCGCCGGTGCTGCGCCGCCAGCGCCGACGCGTCGTACTCGATGAGCTCGTAGTGGCGGATGAAGTCGTTCAAGATGGCACCTGAGGGAAGACGGGTGTCAAAATTCATACGGTGATGTGTGTGTGTGTGGGGGGGGGGGGAGGAAATTGCTCACCCATGGAGCTACAGAGAGGAAAGGAGGTAATCTGTTCGATGGAGGTGTCGTTTCTATTCACTGGTTCAGAGCTTCATGGTAAACTATGTATGCGTAGTAATCAGTGAGGTGTTCAATTTGTGAGATGATTCAGCTCGTGGATGTAGGCAGTTAGGGAGATGATGTGAATGTGGTAGCAGACACCTGCCGTTTTTAGGCAAAGCCAAGGCGGGATGCAAACTAGCCATGAGTCTCCTCAGGGCCTCGGCTAACATGTTAACTGGTGGGCCAAATGGCCCACCAGTGACCCGAAATGGCCCACCAGCCTCAAAGATTTGGCCCACCAGTAATTTTCCGAAAAATCTAAGTTTTCACATTTCAAATTGAACTAGCAGATCTTATCGTACATTTTCAGGCTGTAAAGTACCCATCGGTGAAACATATTCTTGTGAAAAAAAACTTCAACCTATTGTTTGCAATATCCTCTTGGGGTAAAAAGTGGAAGAACAGACCAGTTCAGACGGTCGGGGATAAGCCTGCGAGCGATCTCAGACGGCTGGCCGATAGACACGATATAAGCCAGAGTCAAACTAGAGGTAGTGTCGGCGACTTCCAGCCGATTGAAGTCTGCAAGCGATATTAATACTGCCGAATTTTGGCCACGACCCTGTCGCCGAATCACGTCGTGTAGGAAATCGGCGAACAGTTTACCGACAGAGGCGAACAGTTCGCCGACAGAGCCCGATTTGCAGAAAACGGGTGGGGCCCCCCTAATTGTGCGCGGGTCGAAGCTGATCCATGTTTCGGCGAACATCGCGAATGAATGGCGAATCTGTTGCGAATAGTCGGCGATGCCTTGGCACGCAGCGACATGTCGGCGGCGACTCGGCGACTGTTTGGCGATCATGTTCGTTTATTATAAATTCGGCTAACGGCATCGAAACTTTTATTTTTCATGACATATTCGTGGCGGTCGTGACGAACCGTAAAAGTCACGCGGTGGACACCGACTGGTCTGCGAAATGCCAAGACCGTGGAAGAAAGATCCCGAATCGGTCCGCGACATAGGATGACTTGCATATTCGTGCACATTTGTGTACCAAAATTCGGCTTTATGCGTCTTCACGACCGGTATGATGCTTGCAGTCACACATCTGACCAGTTGGACAAATTTCGAACCGTTCACAGTCACCGTTCCCAAAATTTCTCATTTGGGCTGAAGATGACACTCAAGAATTAGAAAGGACTAGAGGTACAGGTTTACGCGATAACTGTATGTTTTGATTTATGTTATGTTACGGGTGCATTAGTTTTGGGTCATTGACTTGAATTTTTAGCAGTATTATTTGGGTAGATTTGGGTAGCTGTTTTTAATTGAACTGTAAGGGATGGTGATAGTTGCGGGGTGTTCAAGTGTTTTGTATGTTGGGCCCTTTTTGAACTCAACCCTACCCCTACCCTACCACTACCCTACCCCTACCCTATCCTACCCTACCCCCTACCCTACCCTACCCTACCCTACCCTACCCTACTACCCTACCCTACCATACCCTACCCTACTACCCTACCCTTCCCTACCCTACTACCCTACCCTACTCTACCCTACCCTACCCTACCCTAACCTACCCTACTACCCTACCCTACCCTACCCTACCGAACTCTACCCTACCTAACTCTACCCTACCCTACCCTACCATACCCTACCCTACTACCCTACCCTACCCTACCTTACCCTACCCTACCCTACCCTACCCTACCCTACCCTACCTTACCCTATCCTACCCTACCCTAGTCCCTACCCTACCCTACCCTACTACCCTACCCTACCCTACCTTACCCTACCCTACCCTACCCCTACACTACCCTACCCCTACACTACCCTACCCTACCCTACCCTACCCTACCCTACTCCTACACTACCCTACCCTACCCCTTCCCCTACCTAACCTACCCTACCCTACCTACCCTACCTACCCTACCTAACTCTACCCTACCTAACTCTACCCTACCCTACCCTACCCTACCATACCCTACCCTAGTCCCTACCCTACCCTACCCTACCCTACCCTACACTACCCTAACCTACCCTACCATACCCTACCCTACCCTACCCCACACTACCCTAACCTACCCTACCCTACCCTACCCTACCCTACCCTAACCTACCCTAACCTACCCTGCCCTACCCTACCCTACCCCTACATTACCCTACCCTACCCTACCCTACACTACACTACCCTACACTACCACCGACAGTCCAAGTTTCATCTAAATCGGCCCAGAAACGGCTGAGATATTGCAAAAACAAATTTATCGTATTTACTGGCGAATCCCCTTGGCGAGGGGTGCCTTGTGTCGGCCTTCGTTGGCTCTGATGCTTTTCACTCAGTTTTCTAAGCGAACAACTGAGCCTAAAGCACGTGCCCTCTGCTCGGCGCCGGTCGCGGCCCCATCACGTGCACACCGCTGAACCCACAACCTCGAAAATTTAATACGACAAATGAGTGCACGCGATCGACTTGGTGTGAAAATTTCACCCCTGTAGCCCTTACCGTTCCCGAGCAATGGCCTGTTTTTGTCGATTCTAATGCTAACCCTATGGCGCACATGAGCACGCGCCACGGGCGCACCCCCGGCCACATCGTGCCCAAAATTTAATACGACCTGTTGAATGACGTGACCCACGAGTCGTGAAAATTTCACCCTCCTGCGTCAATCGACGGCGCCGTAATAAGCCTTTTAGGGAGTAACCCCGACGGCGGCGGCGAACTTTTTAAGATTTATAATAGTAGACTAGAGGTACAAGTTTACGCGATAACTGTATGTTTTGATTTATGTTATGTTACGGGCGCATTAGTTTGGGTGATTGACTTGTATTTTTAGGTGTATTATTTGGGTAGATTTGGGTAGCTCTTTTTAATTGAACTGTAAGGGATGGTGATAGTTGCGGAGTGTTCAAGTGTTTTGTATGTTGGGCCCTTTTTGAACTCAACCCTACCCCTACCCTACCCCTACCCTATCCTACCCTACCCCCTACCCTACCCTACCCTACCCTACCCTACCCTACCCTACCCTACCCTACTACCCTACCCTACCTTACTACCTTACCCTACCCTACCCTACCTTACTACCCTACCCTACCCTACTCTACCCTACCCTACCCTACTACCCTACCCTACTCTACCCTACCCTACCCTACCCTACCCTACTACCCTAACCTACCCTACTATACCCTACCCTACCTAATTCTACCCTACCTATCTCTACCCTACCCTACGCTACCCCTACCCTACCCCATCCTACCCTACCCTACCCTACCCTACCCTACCCTAGTCCCTACCCTACCCTACCCTACTACCCTACCCTACCTTACCCTACCCTACCCTACCCTACACTACCCTAACCTACCATACCCTACCCTACCCTACCCTACCCCTACCCTACCCTACCCTACCCTACCCTACCCCTACACTACCCTACCCTACCCTACCCTGCCCTACCCTACCCTACCATACCCTACCTTACCATACCCTACCCTACTACCCTAACCTACCCTACTATACCCTACCCTACCTAATTCTACCCTACCTAACTCTACCCTACCCTACGCTACCCTACCCTACCCTACCCTACCTTACCCAACCCTACCCTACCCTACCCTACCCTACCCTAGTCCCTACCCTACCCTACCCTACTACCCTACCCTACCCTACTACCCTACCCTACCCTACCCTACCCTATCCTACCCTATCCTACCCTACCCTACCTTACCCTACCCTACCCTACACTACCCTAACCTACCATACCCTACCCTACCCCTACCCTACCCTACCCTACCCTACCCTACCCTACCCTACCCTACCCTACCCTACCCTACCCTACCCTACACTACACTACACTACACTACCACCGACAGTCCAAGTTTCAGCTAAATCGGGCGCCCATAAACGGCTGAAATATTTCAAAAACAAATTAACTGTATTTACTGGCGAATCCCCTTGGCGAGCGGTGCCTTGTGTCGGCCTTCGTTGTCAAAGGTCAATGACCTGCCGGCTCTGATGATTTCCACTCAGTTTTTTAAGCGAACAACTGAGCCTAAAGCACGTGCCCTCTGCTCGGCGCCGGTCGCGATTCTAATGCTAACCCCATGCCGCACATGAGCACGCGCCACGGGCGCACCCCCGGCCGCATCGTGCCCAAAATTTAATACGACCTGTTGATTGACGTGACCCACGAGTCGTGAAAATTTCACCCTCGTGGTTCAATCGACGGCTTTGCAATAGGCGTTTTTGGGAGTAACGCCGACTGCGTAACCCCGACGGCGGCGGCGGACTTTTTAAGATTTATAATAGTAGACTAGAGGTACAGGTTTACGCGATAACTGTATGTTTTGATATGTATGATTAACGGGTGCATTAGTTTGGGTGTAGAAGCTTGCATTTTTATTGGTATTATTTGTGAAGAACTGGGTAACTGCTTTTAATTGAACTGTAAAGTATGATGGTGATGCATGCGAGTTGTTCGAGCCCTTAAGTTAGGATGTTACTCAATTCAACCCTACCCCACCCTACCCTACCCTACCCCACCCTACCCTACCCTACCCTACCCTACCCTACCCTACCCTACCCTACCCCTACCTCTACCTCTACACTACCCTACCCTACCCTACCCTACCCTACCATACCATACCCTACCCTACCCTAACATACCATACCCTACCCTACCCTTACACTACCCTACCCTACCCTACCCTACCCCTACCCCTACCCCTACCCTACCGTACAATACCCTACCCTACCCTACCCTACCCTACCCTACCCTACCCTACCCTTACACTACCCTACCCTACCCTACCCTTACCCTACCCTACCCTACCCTACCCCTACCCCTACACTACCCTACACTACCCTACCCTACCCTACCCTACCCTACCCTACCCTACCCTACCCTACCCTTACACTACCCTACCCTACCCTACCCCTACCCTACCCTACCCTACCCCACCCTACCCATACCCGTACCCCTACCCTACCCTACCCTACCCTACCCTACCCTACCCTACACTACACTACACTACCCTACCCTACCCCTACCCCTACACTACCCTACCCTACCCTACCCTACCCTACTCCTACACAAACCTACCCTACCCTACACAAACCTACCCTACCCTACCCTAACCCTATCCTACCCTACCCTACCCTACCCTACCCCTACCCCTACCCCTAACCTACCGTACCCTACCCTGCCCTACCCTACCCTACCCTACCTTACACTACCACCGACAGTCCAAGTTTCAGCTAAATCGGCCCAGAAACGGCTGAGATTTTGCAAAAATAAACTAATTGTATTTACTGGCGAATCCTCTTGGCGAGCGGTGCCCAGCGTCGGTATTCATTGTCAAAGGTCAACGACCTGCCGGCTCTGATGCTTTTCACTCAGGTTTTTAAGCGAACAACTGAGCCTAAAGCACGTGCCCTCTGCTCGGCGCCGGTCGCGGCCCCACCACGTGCACACCGCTGAACCCACACCGTCGAAAATTTAATACGACAAATGAGTGCACGCGATCGACTTACAGCGAAAATTTCACCCCCGTAGCCCTTACCGCGTTCCCGAGCAATAGCCTGTTTTTGCCGATTCTAATGCTAACCCTATGGCGCACATGAGCACGCGCCACGGGCGCACCCCCGGCCGCATCGTGCCCAAAATTTAATACGACCTGTTCATTTACGTGAGCCACGAGTCGTGAAAATTTCACCATCCTGCGTCAATCGACGGCGCCGTAATAAGCCTTTTTGGGAGTAACCCCGACGGCGGCGTGGGCGTGGGCGGCGGCGGACTTTTTAAGATTTATAATAGTAGACTAGAGGTACAGGTTTACGCGATAACTGTATGTTTTGATACGTATGATTAACGGATGCATTAGTTTGGGTGTAGAAACTTGCATTTTTATTGGTATTATTTGTGTAGAACTGGTTAACTGCTTTTAATTGAACTGCTAAGTATGATGGTGATGCATGCGAGTTGTTCGAGCCCTTTGTAAGTTAGGATGTTACTCAATGCAACCCTACCCTACCCTACCCTAACCTACCCTACCCCTACACTACCCTACCCTACCCTACCCTACTCCTACACTACCCTACCCTACCCCTACCCTACCCTACCCAACCCTACTCCTACACTACCCTACCCTACCCTACCCCGCCCTACCCTACCCTACCCTACTCCTACACTAACCTACCCTACCCCTACCCCTACCCTACCCTACCCTACCCTACCCTACCCTTACACTACCCTACCCTACCCTACCCTACCCTACCCTACCCTACTCCTACCCTACCCTACCCTACCCTACCCTACCCTACCCCTACACTAACCTGCCCTACCATAACCTACCATACCCTACCCCTACCCTACCCTATCCTACCCTTACACTACCCTACCCTACCCTACCCTACCCTACCCCTACCCTACCCTACCCTACCCTTACACTATCCTACCCTACACTACCCTACCCTACCCCTACACTACCCTACCCTACCCTACCCTACCCTACCCTACCCTACCCTACCCCTACCCTATCCTACCCTACCCCTACCCTATCCTACCCTACCATACCCCTACTCTACCCTACCCTACCCTACCCTACACTACACTACCACCGACAGTCCAAGTTTCAGCTAAATCGGCCCAGAAACGGCTAATCGCTAAAATAGCCTAAGCTCCCGACCGCCGCAAACCGCAAACCGGGCGCACCAAACCCCGCGCAAACATCGCCCGCCGCCAACTGCAAAAGCCTTAAAAAAAAATAAAAAATAAGAAGCGGCCGCCCGCAGCCAAACGCTAGCACCGCAAAACCGCGCAAAATGCACGCCCGAAACACCAACGAAAACATAGAAAAAAAAACAAAAATATAAGCGCCCGACCGCCGCAAACCGCAAACGTAACCGCCCGCATCACAAACATCGCCCGTCGCCAACCGCAAAAACCTTGAAAAAAACGGCCGCCCGCAGCCAAACGCTAACACCGCAAAAACGCGGAAAATTCACGCCCGAAACACCAACGAAAACGTAGAAAAAAGAACAAAAAACTAAAACAAAAAATAATCTAAGCGCCCGACCGCCGCAAACCGCAAACTACACCGCAAACGCCACAAAAAAGAAAACCACCGCCCCGGTTTCCTCTACTTACGGGTGCTTTGTGTGGCACTTAGCATTACCACAATTCGCCACGTGGAGGCGGCCACAATGAATTGCGTCTCATTTTTACAGAAGAGACCCCTCAGGTGGTGCAAAGCACACCGAAGCAAGAGGGGAGAGAAACTGGGGTACCGTCAGTCGCTTGCGACGCCCCGCCAGTGGTTGGAGGCTTCAGCGCAGGACAGCGCGGTAGACGACGTTTGCCGTCCGGCGGTCTCGCTGGGCTGGCAGTGCAAACCGCAGCTGGTCCTGACGGCCGACCCGTGACGCGGCGACGTAGAGCTGGCCGTGGGTGAAGGCCGGCTCGGTGAGCAAGACGGCCACTCGTCCCAGAGTCTGGCCCTGCGACTTATGGACCGTGATGGCGAAGGCCGGCTTGATGGGAAACTGACGACGTGCCCAGGTGAATGGGAACAGGTCGTCAGGTGGCCGGAGGGTGATGCGCGGCAGGAAGACCTGTCGCCCTCGGTGCGGACCGCAGGCGATGGTGGCCTCCAGCAGGCGCCCGCTGACCACGCGCCGGATGAGCAGCCGCGAGCCGTTACACAGCCCTTCTGCCGGGCTCAGGTTGCGCAGCAGCAGCACCGGCATCCCCGGCTTCAGCGTCAGCTGGTGCGGTGGGAATCCCGGCGCGGTCAGGGTGTTCAGGTACTCTTGGGGTACCTGCAGCACCTCCTCTCCCTCGCCGACCATCGCGTCGGCACTTCGTAGGTGGATCGCCTCGCCGGGGAACGCCTCGGTGGCAAGGGCGTTCACGGCATCCACGTCGGAGTTCTTCGCGGCCAGTACGGCGCGAGAGGCCATCGAGTCAGGGTCATCGGGGGCGGCGCGCAGGTCACCGAACACCCACCGGATGACCTCCGGCAGGTCAGCGTCCATGCACAGGCCGGCCGGTAGCTGGACATTTCCGTCGTCGTCGGTGGGCAGGCGACCCTCGCCGAGCGCTAGCAGCCACTCGCAGAAAGCCGCGGCGTCTTCAGGGTGGAGACCGTCGGCTGCTTGGCGGGCCCGCATGTTCTCTTCCAGCCTGAGGTAGTGGAAGTGCCGCCAGAGTGGAGACTGCCGCAGGCAGGCGTCGATGATTTGGGCCGGTGAGCCGCGCCTAAAATGGGAACACACCAATAAAGAAAAGTGCGTAATAAGTGATGTCTAATGTTTTCTTCAGAAATGCTGTTATCAGATTCGAATGATATTAAAAGTTTCATGGTCATTGCACATTAACTGATATTCCAGATGTCCGAATTTCAATGCTAATCGCCACATACTGATGTAGAGTTAGAAAAAAAAACGCTCGCTATCACATTTTCTGCCGATTCATATCAGATATGTATTATACACATCACTTCGATATAAATTGTTGTCTAAAAAGTATAGGAAAATGATCAGCTATACGCAGTTCGAGCAAGCATTTACAGAAAAATACTTCACATTACCAGCGTAGACTGTAAGCACGGTTACGTCACAAAATCCGTGTAATGACATCAATATAGACAGGCCGGCGAAACGTACACTCACCTGATCACAGGGAGAATCTGTCTGAAGTCCCCGCCGAGCAGCATCACTTTACCGCCGAACGGCTGTTCGGTGGCAGTGACGTCCCGAAGGGTCCGGTCAAGGGCTTCCAGGAGGTGGCGGTGCGCCATCGGAGCCTCGTCCCAGACGATCAGCTGTGCTCGGCGGATCAGGTCGGCCAGTGGGCTCTGCACCGGCACGTTACAGGTGGAGGTGGCTGTCACCTGAAGCGGCGCCTTGAAGCGAGAGTGGAACGTGCGGCCGCCATCCAGGAGGGTGGCCGCGATGCCGCTGAACGCCACGGCCAGCGCCACCTCTCCCTCCGCCCGCACGGCCGCCAGCAGGGCGTTGAAAGTGTACGTCTTGCCCGTGCCGCCCGGGGCATCGACGTACACGGCCAGCGGCCGGCGCTCCCGGACGGCGTCCAGCACGGCGTCCACCACGGCCCGCTGTGACGGCAGCAGCGTGGGCAGCCGGGCGTCCGTCTGCTCGCGCAGGGCCTCCCGGTCGTACGCCAGTTCCTCCTGGATGACGGGCGGCAGGCGGCGGAGCTCGGCGGCCTCCTCCAGCTGGGCGGCCAGCAGACGGTGCTCCTGCGGCACGACCGGCAGCTGCAGGTCGGCCAGCTCCTTGCCGGCGCGCTGCAGGCGCCGCTCGACGTCCAGTAGCGCTAGCGAGCGAGCTACTGCGGCGTCCAGCTCCCTGTGGCGACGGGTGAAGTCTTCGGCGAGGGCTGGATAGTGGCGCTCGAAGAGTCCTGCCGGGTCAGCCGGCTCACAGAATAGCAGGATGGTGACCAGGAGCTGGCGCAGCTGGCGCGGCATCTGTACCAGCGCCGCTTCCTGCATGGTGACGTCCCACTCGGCGTCCTCCTGGAGCAGGCCACGGCGACGGCAGGCCTCCTGATGGGTCGCGCAGACTACTCCTGCCACGGTGCGAAGCTCCGCGAAGCTGGTCGCGCCCGGGACGTGGTGCAGGAGCAGCCGCAAGTAGAAAACGTCTCCTTGTCGTGGGGAGACGCTCACCACCCGGCCGATGGTGGGTGCCGCCTGGTGGTTCTGCCGCCTGACCCAGTTCCGGCGGCCCTTATCCCAGCGGCAGTGGCGCGGGAAATCGGGGTAGAGCAGCGCCAGGCAGCCGGGGTCGGCGGCGGCACACTCCCGGTTGTACCGCATCCACGCGGTCAGCGGCGTGTCTCTGGGCTCGGCGGCGGCGGCTTGGCGCTCCTGGCCGTCCTCAAAGAGCACCACCTGGTGGTTCTCCAGGTGGACTTGGAGAGGCTCAACCGCTGGCGACCTACTGCTCATGTCGAACTGGAACAGACGCCAGCATGCCTCGCTGGCGCCGATCGAGCGCAGATCTTGGTATTCGCCGATCTCGTCGCGCTCTGCTGCTGCCGCTCGCTGTCCGTCGGTCCGGACCATCTGGCGGTCGTGGCCCTTGTAGATATACTTGAATAAGTATTTGACGGACTCGACGGAGCAGCAGATCTCCAAGTTTATGTGGCAGCAGTAGCGGAGCGAGAGCAGCGGGGAAAAGGGGACGATCCAGCGGTTGTCCACCAGCCGGCCGCGGTGCTCCACTTGCTGGCCGCCGGCGTCCGGAGCCCGCCGGCGGTACACCGGATAGGGACTGTCGTCCCGCCACTCCGTCTGGCCAGCGTACTCCTTCGGAAAGTGTTTGGAGCACCTGCCGTCTCTCATGCACCCAGCTGCCGGGTTGGCTGCGCCGCACTGCGTGTGCGTCATGCAGTTCAGCACGATGTCGTGCAGCCGGCGCGCCTGCTCCGATGTCGCCGGGTCCGGCAGCTCGGCCGACACCATGGCGTCGATGTCCTCGGCGGTGGTCGGACGGTCGGCACGGTCGAGGATCAACAGAATGTGGCTGTGTGGCAGACCTGAAAAGGAGACATTTTATTGTACATTAATATATTCAATATTGCACGCTGTGGACGTTCTGATATAGATGTATCAGTAATTGTCTGGCTGTGACTTGCATATGTAAACTATTTAGGTGTGTTTGGTTTAGAAATGCTTTAATTTCTTTCATTTTATATCCTTATAGCTCTTCACACCGCTCTTATGTCTTAATCCGCCATTTCCATAATATTGATTATTTATCCGGAGCCTTATAAGGACTGTTCGGTGTTCAGCAAGGCGGCCGAGTGATGCGGCACAGTCTAACTGACAGGCGTATCGGCCGGTGGCCAATTTATACATAGCATTAGTGATAGTAAAATAGTAGCTTATGTGTTTCTCTAGGTGGACGCAGGCTCAGCCTAGATTAGTGGCCAATGATTTATTGCCGAATATCATTTAGGAATAATATATATATATGTCACTGCGCCGATCAGGAGCGATAGGCTTCATGCGACTGTGAAATTTGTCGTATGAAAAGAAAGAGCTAAATAAAGTAACACCTGAAGAAACGCGCAAACTTACCACGCTTCTGGAACTCGATGACACTCAGATAGCCGATGATGCGGCCGAAGGCACCACCATTCGTCAGGTCCGACAGCAAGCTCTGCAGCTTGAGGCGGAAGACCCTGGCCAAGATGTCAGGTCTGTCCTCTGGCTTCTGGCCGGGCAGCAGAGCCCTGGTGACCTCGTCCCAAGCCGGGTTACATGTCACCGTAATAAACAGGGACGGCTTGCCCAAGCTGCGGACAATGGCCATGCCATCCAAGTACCTGCAAAGAACGGAAATAATGTATAATGTTAAAGTAAGAAAAAGAAACATTAAGGATGCTCACTTGGTACATGGATTACTGTCAGGTGTTTTGTTTCAGTTAGCTTTCTCCATTGTTTTCAACAGTTATTAAAATCCATGATGCTTACTCATTTCTTGATATTCCACTTTTTCGGTTGCAGTAAGTTCTTATGTATTTCAGAGGCACATTTATGGAGAAAACTTGCATTAACATATGTACTCTAAAATGACTCACCTGGTCTGCATGTGCCGCGGTCCACCGATGAATGACGGCGGTAGGATTACGCGGCGTCCAACGCCGAGCGGAGGTGCTGGTGCGGCTCCGGCGTCACCGGCACCGTCTCTCGCCGGCTGGTCGGCGGCGGCGGGAGCGGCGGCGGCGTCCTCCAGGTCACCGGCCATGGCGTCTACCAGGTGCTGGTAGAGCTCCGCCCGGATCTGACGCTGGTTCATGGCCAGGAACAACAGCCGCTGCGTCTCGACCCGGGCGAAGGCCATGCAGCAGAACTCCTGCAGCAGGCGGCAAGCCCGCAACAGCGAGTCGTCGTCCACTGGCCGCGTCTGCAGACGGTGGGCGGCGTACTGCAGAGCGGTCACCCGTCGCGCCGGACCATCGCCGTCGGGCCGCTGCTGCGCCAGCTCAGGGTGCCAGCCGTCTGTCCCGAACGGGTACAGGAGCACGAAATGCAGGGGCTCGTAGGACCGGTGACACTCACTGATGGTGGCCAGATCAGCGCCATCGCCAGCGGCGCGCCGGCGCAGGACGATGTCCCGGTGCACGGGCTCCTCGCCGATGAGCACTGAGACCTCCTGCAGCCCCTCCGGTCGGTTGTACCGCCGTGCGTGTTCACCGGCTGGCCGCGCGTCGGCGCTGATGACCAGGCGCCGGTGCTCCACTTGGTCCTCTGGGATCTCGCTGGCCATGATAAAATCTTGCACTAGCGGGTTGTGCTCCCGGAGCAGCTGCTGCAGGTGCTGCAGGATGTCACGCAGAGCGCGCTGTGTCGCCGCTGGGGTGTTGGCGCTTAGCCGGACATGACCCAGGCGCAGCGCCGCCTCCGCCTCCGGGTCTTCGCACAGCGGGTCTTGCACATAAATCTGCGCAAACTTCGGTACTTCGCCGTCGCGAGCACGAAGCGGTCCCAGTCGGTGATACAGCCGGCCCTGTATCACAACAGATGGCGTGTAACCGCCGTGACCGGGGGGTGGCCGCACCTCCTGCACGGTCTGTGACGCCAGTGCCAGGGCGGAATTAAGATGTCGGACATGCTTGCGGAAAATCCGAGCGACCGCCGAGTCGTCTGTCCACAGCTGGCGCAGGCTAGGTGGAGGAGCTGGCAGAGGTGCGAGCCGGACCTTGCCGGCCGCACAGCAGAGGCTGGGTCGCTCGGCTGGCCACAGCAGCGCTCCACAGTGCTGGCAGCCGCGGTCTCTGTCGCCGACGGTGTTGAGCGGCACGGCCTGCTCTCCAGAGAGGACGGCGGCGGTGTGGCGCGCCTCGCGAGACGGTGACTGGTCACGACGCTCCCGGCGACGGCGGTCTGCCCGGTCTCGATCTCGCTCGCGGTTCGCCTCGTCTAGCTGGCGCTGCTGCTGCCGCTGGCGCTCTCGCTCGCGGTTCGCCTCGTCCAGCTGGCGCTGCTGCTGCCGCTGGCGCTCCCGCTCGCGGTAGTCTTCGTCTTCACGCAGCCGACGGAGGCGCTCTGCGTCGGCTGCACGCTGCTCCTCGTCGGCTTCCCGCTGTGCTCTGCGTCGCTCCAGCTCGGCCTGGCGCTGTTCTTCGGCGCGTCTCGCCCTGAGCCGACGCATGCGCTCGGCGGCCGTTGGCGGACCCGCCCTCGGCACAGGTTGTTCCTCCTCGTCGGCTTCCCGCTGTGCTCTGCGTCGCTCCAGCTCGGCCTGGCGTTGTTCTTCGGCGCGTCTCGCCCTGAGCCGACGCATGCGCTCGGCGGCACGCCGGCGGTCGGCCGCCGTTGGCGGACCCGCCCTCGGCATAGCGGGAAGCCACTAAAGGTCTGAAATAATCGTATCTTATATAACTAAGACTATGATCGCGGGTAACAGTGAATGCATTTCCATATGGTGAACATTCCACTATCTCAAAATAAACTTGGAATAACTTTTAAATGAGAATCCGCTTGTACATGTATATCTGGTTATATTCCGAACGTGTATTCCGGAAAAAGAGCGTTATATTGACGTATATTTGACGTGTATTGTATGACGTATATTGTATCGGGCTATATATGTACATTCGCTTGTATATGTATATCCGGTTATATCCCGAACGTATATTTGGGGTGCAGGTGTTGCACACAAAACCGTTGCCATGGTAACATCGACGTAAACACAGTATGCGACGTTTGGTACGTTATATGCGCCATAATTGTCTATTTTATGTTAAAATTTTGTGAAGCCCCCTCTTTTACAGGGAGCCTTTCATGACAGTCCATTAACGAAGCTCAAATTTTGTTCTTGTCAGTACGTACGTTACTTGACACATTTATGCGAAGGATATCAACATGGTTCTTGGCAAAATTCCTACCTCATTCTTACTACCCGCTGGGCCGACATAACACAATTCTTGCGGTATATTATTGTTCAATCGAAAAAATGACATAGATGGACTCACCTTAATTAGAGATCCCTAAACTCACAGGAATAATAAAACCTGATATGATACAACACAAGCTGGGAAAAAAACTATCACTTCAGAATTATCACTTCAGCTGAAGCCACCGTATACTATCGTCAACTGCGCTTTTGTCTACTTCCAATATGTTTTCACACGTTTTCACATGTCACGTGCAGATATATCTGAAAGCCAGCCATTTTGGAAATCATCTGTGTTGAGCGCAATGACTTAAGGCGTGGCTGAACAATGCGTTTTCTGCGTGCGTTTTTTTTTTTGCGGGTTTGCGGGTTTTGCGTAATATCGTTCTCGAAAGAAAGTTATAACTTTTACATTCGTTGTGTATAAAAGTTAATATAACTCTTATGTTAACTAAATTTGACATAAAAACAAATCTTAAAGACGTAATATCTTTTTTTTGTAGAACGATGTAACGCAAAACCCGCAAACCCGCAGAAAACGCATAGTGTAGCCATGCCTTTACCCCTGGCATTTAGAAATATCTTGTTAAGCATACGTCTGTTGTGTAGCATAGGGCACCCTGGCATTTAGAAATATCTTGTTAAGCATACGTCTGTTGTGTAGCATAGGGGAGACCCTAAATTGCTTGTACTGTATGTTAGGATTGAAAAAGAAGGACAATGACGAAAGTGCACAAACGTGTGACTGCTCTTGCTGGCTAGATGGCAGAAGCGTAACACCAAAATGCATACCGTACAGCAAGGCCACGGCCCACAAATATATCAACTCGCATGCAACGTAAGGCCGCCGCCCACCAATATATCAACTCGCTGTTTCGGTGCCCAGTTTTATATTGCTCGCTAGATGGCAGAAGCGGAGAACGCCTGAATGCATACTGTACCGCAAGGCCGCCGCCCACCAATATATCAACTCGCCTGTTTCGGTGCCTAGTTTTCTATTGCTCGCTAGATGGCAGAAGCGGCGAACGCCTGAATGTATACTCTACCGCAAGGCCGCCGCCGCCCACAAAGGACGTGCTGTAGGCCGCGTTGTAGCGTTACGTACCACACCTACCTGCTGCTGATACGCTTGCGGCCATCGATTGAATTCCCAGCATTATTGCGCGTAATATTAACGGAGCATGTGTCGGTGTTTATCTTGTTACTAAGGAATCTGGGTGGAAGAAGTAGCTGGAATATTAAATGATGTCATTGTCCATATCTTCAATGATGGCGATAGAGCACCACCCCTTGAAAATGTTGTCTCCCGTATTTTCACCGATACATAAATTACGCAACGTGTAATGCTGGCCATCTAGCACGGCACAGGACTCTTATCAGTGTCTTTATCTTGAATCTAGCCGTCGTCCTCGAGATAAAAAACGGTCCCAACGCGTGCAAACTAAGACTTCAGATGACTTGAGCCAGCCACCTTTCAAAAGTGCTCCTAACGGCGCACAAAATTTGAGCGAAATCGGCCCAGCCGTTCCTGAGATGTAGGATCATTTCCCTGCACGTGTGCACGTGCAACAGCACCCCACACTTGGTAATGCATCGTAATGCATCGTTCGGTGACTGTCTATCGACCGTCCAAGTTTCAGCTAAATCGGCCCAGAAACGGCTGAGATATTGCAAAAACAAATTAATTGTATTTACTGGCGAATCCCCTTGGCGAGCGGTGCCCTGTGTCGGCCTTCGTTGTCAAAGGTCAACGACCTGCCGGCTCTGATGCTTTTCACTCAGTTTTTTAAGCGAACAACTGAGCCTAAAGCACGTGCCCTCTGCTCGGCGCCGGTCGCGATTCTAATGCTATCCCTATGGCGCACATGAGCACGCGCCACGGGTGCACCCCCGGCCGAATCGTGCCCAAAATTTTATACGACCTGTTGAATTACGTGACCCACGAGTCGTGAAAATTTCACCCACGTGCGTCAATCGACGGCGCCGCAATAGGCGTTTTTGGGAGTAACGCCGGCTGCGTAACCCCGACGGCGGCGGACTTTTTAAGATTTATAATAGTAGATAATTTTCCACTCTCACATTTTGGGTGGCTAGAATTTTCCACTCAGACACCCAAGACAAATCGGAAGTTTGGGACACTGTTCAGTGTTCACCAGAAGTGTACATAACTTTTTTTTTTTTAAAGAAAATATTAGGGTTGCGCACTCACGCGCAGTGCGCTTGGGCTTTTGAGTCAATTCTTTTCCATGCGACACCAATAGGCTTGAAGGGACTATCCCACCTTCTAAAATGTTGTTAAAACCAGTTAAATTGTGCCCGACTTTATAGATTGGATGACCAGGAACACGGTTCTGGCACTTATTTTTCATTAAACATCTTAGGCTTCCCATATTCCAAACACAAACTTTCAAATATGTGACGTCACAGCCCAAAATTACCTCCTTCCCCAGGCCACATTACTGTCATAAAGCTGATTCTTTTTACTCTGTAGGTACCACAACAAAGTTCAGACCAAGTTTTAAGCGATTTTTCAACGGACAAACCCATTTAAATCAGAATGACTAAACGAGGTGACGTCACACTAACGGTCGCTCCATGTTGAAGATAGGGCCTTGTACAAGGCCCATTTTCAAATGAAGGGAACGAATTTCTTCAACACCAAGAGGCCGCGGGGGTTCCAACCAAGATAGATAGTGGTTTCTGAACCTCGCCGCAAACTTGGCTATCTCAACTCAAACCCCATGTTAAAGGTGGGATAGTCCCTTTAATGATCATTTTCAGAGATGTTGGGGTTGCTGCTACAACCCTCTTTTGGGGTTCCTGCTACAACCCACTTTATATATAAAGTTGCGCTCGTGCTGTTCACAATTCCTCCCGATCCACCCGGCAACGCCCGATCTCTTCCGACCGCTTCCGAATCTCCGACTAGTCGGCGAGTGATCCTCTCAGGGCTCGCTGATTTTTAACATCCGACCGGCCGAAAGTTATCGTCCAAAGTTTTATAATCTGCGTCAATATTTTGTGCATACTTGTGCAATTTTATGTGCACTGCCGGAGTATCACCGCTGAGAGGGTTGTGGGTCCCTTGTCTCTCCTCTCTCTGAAGAGTTGGGGGGGGGGAGCGTCGAGCCCCGTTTTTTTCTTCATTTTTTAAATGCCATCCTGACGTTTTTTGCAGAATAAAGTGGCCGAAATCTGGGGAGAAATCGAAAATTGGGGGGGGGGGCTATGGCTACGAAGGTCAGTCCATGTCGCTGCCCAAGTGGCCCACCAGTCAAAATTCCTTAGCCGAGGCCCTGAGTCTCCTCACATGGTTCTTGTTGTCTCAGAGCATGACAAGAGCACTGAACATGACATACGGCCGACTTTGAACATACCCAACTTCAAGACAGGGAACAAGCCAAAGAAAAGCATAACCAGGACATACGAGCCATTAGCCAACTCTAGGCAAAGCACGGACAGGATACGAGCCGGCCTCGCTCCTAACCAGGAAACCCATGCAGTGTGCGCTGTACGTCAGTGTAACAGAACCGGTCCTTGCGGGAGGCCCCGTTCGGGTGTGTTGGTGGACCCAGTCACAGGTCTATGTGTGTTGAGCTGTGGGCGATTTGGTGCCGCAGCATTGACGATGAGTCAGCAGCGATGGCGGTCGAAATGGTGGTATCGACGAAACAAGCACGAACGGGATATGGCACTGGGGGAACTCCGGCCACGGGACCCACAGATCTGGGTCTTGTAATACATGTGGTGTTTGGTTCAGTTTTTTTTTTTTTTTGTTTAGGTTGCTGACGTTATTTGTATCTACATAGTGTGCGCTGGCTGACCACTAGCTATTGGTCAGTGAAGGGAGCCGCACCCCTTGCAACCGCTGGCCGATCGCCAGAATCGGACGAGTTAGCCCGTGAATCACCACTTCACAGGTTTCCAAAGGCTTTCCGTGGGTCGGTTAATCATGGACAGACGGACAGACGGACAGACGGACAGACGGGCAGACGGGCAGACGGACAGACGAGCTGATGGACATACAGACGGACAAACAAACAGACGGAGAGACGGACAGGAGGATAGACGGACGAACAGAAAAACGGACAGGACAGACGCACGAGCGGAAGGACAGAAGGACTGAAAAAAGACGGACAGATGGGTAGGTGGGCAGACGGACAGACGGGCCTACGAGCAGACGAACAGACTGACAGACGGACAGACGGACAGAAGGACAGACGGACAGATGGATAGGTGGGCAGACGGACAGACGGGCCAACGGACAGACGGACAGACGGACAGACGGACAGACGTACAGACGTACAGACGGACAGACTGACAGACTGACAGACGGAGAGACAGACAGACGGTCAGACGGACAGACGGATAGACGGGCCAACGAACAGACGAACAGACTGACAGACGGACAGAAGGACAGACGGACAGATGGGTAGGTGGGT